AAGAGAGAGATCAAAGGGCTGTTTGGCCGAAAAACAAGTGGTGAATATGATCCGACCCTACCATGTTCAATATTACCTAACTACGAACACGACATCTATGCCTACTATCGGAGTTTTCCCATCGCCAGGAATTGCCCGCCAGAAGCCGGTGAACTCAAAAGCCAGTTCTACAGGTGAAACTAACAAACCCTCCACCCTCATCACCGGCGTGCCTCTCTCGGTACCGGAAAATCAAGAATGCAGTAAGGAAGACAAAGAAGATAGTTTTGATGCAGTTTTTCAGATGGTGGCAACTGGCAAATAAGACGCAACCACCGTAGACGGCAGTGGTTGACTCTGCTGAAATTCATAGTTATATCATACTCTCTTTCAGCAAATTACTGAGTATATAAGATATTCCACCACCACAGTGAAGCAAAGGTTGCGTGTGCTGCCAAACATTCTTAGAAATATATTTTCCATAGAAAACATTTTTCTCTCCTACAAAACCCCTATATGAAGTGAATTTTGGTGAAATTAAAGAAGGCATTTGTGGCAGTTTAGGCAAGTTTTTGGACTACTTAAATTAGTGATGAGTGCACTCTTACATCAAATTAAAAAGATGGTTAGTTCTTAAGAAAACTAAGGTGCATGGGAATCAGTAAACAACTTTTCTTAACAGACACAATACGGTCTTTTCTTCTACTTGCAATCAATCAGGGCGGAGCTAGCACGTAGGATACAGGTTTGATTGATGTACTAACTTTGGTCCAATTCCGTATTTATTTAATAAATCTATTGAATAATGTGTAAAATTATTAATTTAGAATTGAGTAACATAAACAGACTAAAATTTGAACCTATAAACTTCAATTTCTGGCTCCGTCGGGGGCAGAGCTACAATTGAGGGGCAGGTTCGGACGAACCCAGTGACTTTTTCCGAACCTTGTTTTTGTATTGAAAAATTTACCTGTTAAATATAAATATGTCACGCCAAACCAGTAGCAAAAGTCGTCTGGGTTCAGTGGTAACGGCTTTAAGTTTCTGAAGACATGCATGTTCGATCCCCCTTGGAAGCGACGCATCAAACGTGATTTCTACCATGTCTTCTTCTTCTTTTTGTTTTTTTAAAAAAAAACACAAACTAATCTATATCTATCTATATCTTATTATCTATCTATCTATCTATATCTATAACTATATCGTGATTTTACATGTCTTCTCTTTCTTTTTGTTTTTTTTAAAAAAAACACAAACTAATCTATATCTATCTATATCTATATTTATCTATCTATTATCTATATCTAAACTATATTCTATCTTCTATCTATCTATCTATCTATATATATATATATATATATATATATATATTATAAAAAGCACGAATAATTTATGTTAATGTTGAACGACTAAAATATCCTGAATATTGATGACTTTTATGCCCTTAAATATTTGTATAATTTAATGATCTAATGGTAAATTACTAATGAATTAGAATTCTTTTTTGGATTTAAACTATACATATACCCGACCCTACAACGTTGATACCTACTTGAATTAGAAAAGTTTGTTACTAATTACAGTTCTTTATAACAATGCACATAATAGATACGTATAAAAGAGAATTTTAGTTCTACGTTATGAAAAACGTCTATAATATTTTTTAAACAAAGTTGAATTCTTACTATTCTTTAAAGCCTCAATTTATATTTAGTATACATATAAAGCTACAACTAAATTAAGTTAGTCTTTTCCCAAAGTATTAGGAGTTACTGCATATTTAAATAAATTGAGTAATTTTTAAAATATTAAATAATAAGAAAATATTAATTGATAATTTTTTAAAATATAAAATCTTAATTTTAAAGTGTTAAAATAATAGGGTAGAGTTTAGATGAATTATTTTTATTTTACATGATAATAAATGGTGAGATTGTACTCTTTAATTTATTTATTTTTACTTCAGTATGAGTTATTAATTCTTTTTACAAATTTTTCAAAGACAATCGATTGATGTTAGTCTAGATAGGTTTCCTAAAACAAGTTCGTCAGGCTCCTATATATCGAAGTTTACCAAATTTTTTCTTTGATTGGTTATTTTCTTTGGTCAACTGACTTTATATTCGTGCTTTTACCATTTCATTCTTTAGTAATAATTTCTTTTTAAATTTATTTGGCTTTCAATGGCTATAAAATTCGGTTAATGTTTCAGCAATATTTTTGTCGTTTAATATTCGTGCTTCCTGCTTTTACAATTTCATCCTTTAGGATAATATTTTTTTAAATTTATTTAGCTTTCAAAGGGTATAAAAATAAATTAATATTTCAGGAATATTTTCGTCGTTCAACATTTATTGTTTCAACATTCGGGCTTTTATAATAAATATAGATAGATAGTTATATATATAATATATGCATTCTCAATTGAGGAAGATAAAGGGAAAAATTAGTACTATGTATAAGTCTTATAATTTTTCTTTCAAACTTCATGAACCGATAAATTATTTAAAATTTGCTCATAAGTCACACATCAATCTACAATGTATGTTGTAGTAAAATACGTTAGAGACCTTTATTTTTTAAAACAAAATTATGGATGTGTTTATCTAATTCAAGTAGGAGATCAATTTTGTAGGGTAGATGTGTAGTTTAAGTCGAAAGAGAATTCCATCATTAATTAATTTAATTACAATTAAATTCTTAAATTATACAAATATTTAAGGGCATAAAAGTCGATCAATATTTCAGGGATATTTTAGTCGTTCAACATTTAACATAAATTATTCGTGCTTTTATAATATATATATATATATATATATATATATATAGATAGATAGATAGATAGATAGATAGAATATAGTTATAGATATAGATAGATAGATAGATAAATATAGATATAGATAGATATAGATTAGTTTGTGTTTTTTTTAAAAAAAACAAAAAGAAGAAGAAGACATGGTAAAATCACGATATAGTTATAGATATAGATAGATAGATAGATAGATAGAGATATAGATAGATATAGATTAGTTTGTGTTTTTTTTTAAAAAAACAAAAAGAAGAAGAAGACATGGTGAAATCACGTTTTGATGCGTCGCTTCCAAGGGGGATCGAACATGCATGTCTTCAGAAAACTTAAAGCCGTTACCACTGAACCCAGACGACTTTTGCTACTGGGTTTGGCGTGACATATTTATATTTAACAGGTAAATTTTTCAATACAAAAACAAGGTTCGGGAAAAAGTCACTGGGTTCGTCCGAACCTGCACCCTCAATTGTAGCTCTGCCCCCGACGGAGCCAGAAATTGAAGTTTATAGGTTCAAGATTTTAGTCTGTTTATGTTACTCAATTCTAAATTAATAATTTACACATATTCAATAGATTTATTAAGATAAATACGGAATTGGACCAAAGTTAGTACATTCAATCAAACCTGTATCCTACGTGCTAGCTCCGCCCTGATTGATTGCAGTAGAGAAAAGACCGTATTGTGTCTGTAAGAAAAGTTGTTTACTGATTCCCATGCACCTTAGTTTTCTTAAGAACTAACCATCTTTTTAATTTGATGTAAGAGTGCACTCATCACTAATTTAAGTAGTCCAAAAACTTGCCTAAACTGCCACAATGCCTTCTTTAATTTCACCAAAATTCACTTCATATAGGGTGTGTTTGGTAGGAGAGAAAATGTTTTCTATGGAAAATATATTTTCCTAGAGAATGTTTGGCAGCACTACGCAACCTTTGCTTCACTGTGGTGGTGGAATATCTTATATACTCAGTAATTTGCTGAAAGAGAGTATGATATAACATTGAATTTTCAGCAGAGTCAACCACTGCCGTCTACGGTGGTTTGGGTCTTATTTGCCAGTTGCCACCATCTGAAACTGCATCAAAACTATCTTCTTTGTCTTCCTTACTGCATTCTTGATTTTCCGGTACCGGAGAGAGGCACGCCGGTGATGAGGTGGAGGGTTTGTTAGTTTCACCTGTAGAACTGGCTTTTGAGTTCACCGGCTTCTGGCGGGCAATTCCGGCGAGGGAACTCCGATGAGTAGGCATAGGATGGTCGTGTTCTGAAGTGTAGGTGATATTGAACATGTTAGGGTCGGATCTATTTCGATCCACTTGTTTTCGGGCCAAACAGCCCTTTGAGCTGCTACATTTGTAATATCCCCTGTTAATCCACGAAAGAAATAATACCACACTTCAGAAAACGAGCTCTCTTTTTCTTTATAATTTATAAAAACTTTAAGGTTGTTTGGTTGATAATACAAGAATAATTAATTGTAGCATAAGATATTATAGTGTTTGCTTGGTCGCATAAGAAAATAATCACATACATAAACAATATAACGTTTGGTTAACAATATTAATTAATACTAACAATCAGTGGCGCAGCCACATAGTTATAAGAGATTTCGATTGACACTCCTTCGCAGCAGGAAAATTACACGATTTAGATAGGTAATAAATATATTTTTTAATATTATATAGTACTAGGTATTAAATTCCCTTGACTTATCGTGCATTTTCTTTTTAAAATTTTGACGTCTCTTTATGAAAATTCTAGCTTCGCTACTGCTAACAACATTAGGTTATGCAAACATTTATGCATGATAGAATGTGGAATAAAAATCTGTACTAGTAAGACAGAAATTAAACTATTTTAGAGTAAGTAATTCATATATAATATTCTTTTTATTATTAATTGTTGCATAAATAATGTCAATTCCGCCACTAACTAACATGTGAACCAAATAGTGATGTTAGCTAATTCATGCAAGGAACCTAAGAATGTACTGTACAAAAAGAAAGATTAAAAAGAACCAACCTAGGGTATGGGGAACCTTTGATGGGTTTTTGCCCATATTTTCTCCAAGCCCACTTGTCTAAAGACAAAGCCTCAGCAGGCAGTTGGCATACCTTCTTCAGCTTGTTCTTCCTGAAAAAAAATCCAAATAAATTTGTGAGAATCAGAATTTAAATAAATAAATTAATTAATAAATAAGCAGATTGACTTTGTGATAGGGGTATATGTCAACTGATAAAAGTCTACTTTTTCCATAAAAGAAATTTAATACTTTACATATGAAAAATTAAAGGAAGCCCGATGCATAAAGCATTTTGTATTCATGCAGGATCCGGGGAAGAGTCGTACCCTAAGGGGTGTAATGTCGGCAACTTACCCTAATGCAAGCATTAATAGCTGCTTTCACGACTCTAACCCATGACTTATAAGTAGGGGCAGATTCACGCTTAACGAAGTGGTGTCACGCGACACCACTTTGTCAATTTTTTTACTTTATATAAGTATTATTTACTACTGTGAGGAAACAGATAAATAGGAAAAAATGATACCACTTGACATAAATTGTCTCTTGGTGTGTTGATTATATGTTGTATTTTGCTTTAAGAGGTTAGAGGTTCAAACCTCAACGAACACATTTTTTTGGACCTTTTCTAACTTGAAACTCAACAAAACCAGTAGACTAAGACTATTTCTTGTCTAGAAGTATGATAATTAAAGATATTATTCCCGTTCTTCTATAAATTTCAACACCGCTTACAAAATTTCGATGTACGCCCCTACTTATACGTCACACGAAAACAAATTTACTGTCGCTACAAGGCTTCCCTTCTACGAAAAACTATAAATAGAAAATTTGAATTTACCTTTTTTGGATTCTTGGACTCATCTGAGGATATGAAGTACGACGGGACGTACTAGTTTTACTAGTTGTGAAATGCTTGGGCTGAATTAGTCCTGTAATAAGCTGATGATTGTGTAGATTTTGCTGATGTTTTAGTGTTTGATGGGTTGATAGATCTTGCAATCCTCCATTAACAAAAGGCTTGTAAAGACTATGCAACTCTTGAACAGCATTTGTGGTATCAAATTTTGGCTCAAATGAATCTTGAAAACAAATAAAGTTGTCAACTTGATGAACATTTGTAGAGTTAGAAATAGTAGTAATTGTGCTACTGCTGCTAGAGGAGGAGGAGGTGGTGGTGTTGGTGGCAGCGGTGGCGGTGCAGCCTCTGACCACCGCGTGTAGATCCCAATCTGCTTCCATATTGTCTTTACTTTGCCCTTTTTTTGCCTTGACTTTGTTTGAGAGAGGACCGTTAGAGAAAATGACAAGCTTTTGACTTTTGGAGATATGAAAAGAGACAAATAAGTGGAATACTACTACTCCCTACTATTTATAGAGAGAAAGTGAGTTTTGGCCTTTTGCATTAAAAAGTCCACTTTCGAGGGTAAAAGTTCCCTAATAAAGACTATTTTATAATTACATATCGAATTCAAAATATCTGATTAAGGATAAATAAATATTTACTATCGATCGCATATCGCTACTAGTCTAAAATACTATTTGTTTTAAAAAAAATTTCATATAGTAATTTGGTGTCCTATGTTATTTTATATTGGCATTTTAAATACATTCATAATATAAATTGAGAAGTTATCTCGTGAATTTGCTACAAATTTTACTTCCGATTTAAATAGTTTTGAATGCATGTCCCATCGAGTGTTTAAGTACACCATATTTCCCTTTTATTTTCAATTTTGTAGATAGAATTTTGAGTTCTAATTGGCTTTATAAAATGCTAATCCCGAGTAATTTCTCTTGTTTAATTTTTATCATCAAGATTCTTTTATTGTCAATAGTATTAATACAAAATTAACTAAAAATGAGGAGGGTTTTTTTTTTATTTTTCCCTCGTGACCGTTACCTACTTTTGGAACTTCGACTTATTCAAATTTATACTGTGTAAAATCAATTAAGAGGAAAAATGCTTTTTACAAAAAAAAAATTTGTGTCTATTTTTCAGGCTCTATTCAAGATCTCTAATTAAGAATAGATGAATCTTATCTATATCCTACCATAATCCTTGGTAGGTCGTTAGGAGGTTGTAAATAGTACTCCAATAGGCATTTGTTTGATAGTGGTTTTGAGCAGTTGACTTGGGAAAATGTCAAAAATGGTGGGTCCCACGGCTCAAAGGGGATGCGTGATTCATTAGCTCAGCTTCGAAAAGGTCCACCCCACGCTGTCTCTAATCGTCACTCGTGAGTGAGTTTTTTCCTCTTTTTTTATTAGATACTAAATGAGGAAAGGCCCGTATACGGGCCCAACATTGTAATTTTATTAAAATTATTATTTGTTGGTATTTAGTTAATTAACTTTTGAGGTTTAACAAGCTATATTTTTTTTTAAATTACTTTTGAATATGAAAATATTTAGTTTGAAATTGCCTTCAAGGATAAATGAAAATCATTTAATTTTTATTTTCAAATTGCTTTAAGATAGGATGAATAAATATGAAAATCTTGTAAATATCGATACTTCTTTTTGTTGTTGTAATATTTAAAAATAAATTTTACTTTCTTTATGGAAACTTCTTATTTGAATAAAAAAAATTAAGGATTTTTCAAAATGAGAAAAAAATTGGAAATGAGCATTTGCATTGTACAAACGTCTGATCACATGCATAGTGCATTTAAATGAGAGTTGTGGCTAGAGGAATGTGGGGTTCACGTGTATTTCGCATTTAAGAAATGGCATGAAATTTTTATGAAATGACATATATGCCCTTGGTCAACCATCTTTCCTTCTCTCTCTCTCTCTCTATATATATATATATATATATATATATATATATATATATATATCCTCAAAGGGAAAAAGTTTACAATCAATTGCATTTTGCAGCGAGGAAAAAACACATTTAGCCAATATTTAAGAAAATTTTACATAGCCCTAGCAATAATAAGTGATTAACAAACATGACAGCTAATAGCTACATTTCTAGCACAAACCTATAACGCTGGAACAATCATTACCACATCTTTCGCTCCCTCATTTAATGTATTACCTCGAGTTGCTCTCATTTCTCCTTCACTAACTGCTTTTAAATCTAATTGTTATGCTTATAATATATTAACTTTAATAATACATTGTATTGTATAATTATTAAGTACATGATGAATAGTAATGTAATATATGAATATACATTACTAGTATATTCATAGTATCTTAATGGTATATATATGATATATATACATACATATATATGAAATACTATCATGTATGACGTGTTTATGATATACACTACAATATAATACAATCATTCATAAAATTTTTCAGCCGTTGTATGTATAAAAAGTGTATTTAATAATAGTGTATATATATATATATATATATATATATATATATATATATATATATATATACGTGAAATAAATATTTACGCGTTATAAATATTTATACACATGATATAATGATGGCATTTAACAATGTACAAATTACAATAGTATTCTACATTATATACACGGTATAATAATGGTATGTAATAATATTACTCCCTCCGGTCCAAAATAAGTGATTTTTTGGATGTTTTCACACAGATTAAGAATGTGACGACCCAAAGGGGCCATCACCTGTATTCCTACTCCCTCTGTACTTCTGAGGCCCTGGAAACCTCACTTGGGGGTTGCCTCGACTTGTGTGCGCAGTCCGGGCGCGTAACCGGAAAGTTTACATGTGAATTTGTGAGAAAAATAATAAAATTTGATGTTTTAAATTGATCGAGTTTGACTTTGGTCAACGTTTTGGACAANAAAGGCCCGTATACGGGCCCAACATTGTAATTTTATTAAAATTATTATTTGTTGGTGTTTAGTTAATTAACTTTTAAGGTTTAACAAGCTATATTTTTTAAAATTACTTTTAAATATAAAATTATTTAGTTTGAAATCGTCTTCAAATAGTATGGATAGATGAAAATCATTTAATTTTTATTTTCAAATTGCTTTAAGATAGTATGGGTAAATATGAAAATCTTGTAAATATCGATACTTCTCCTTTTTGTTGTATTATATAAAAATTAATTTTATTTTCTCTATGGAAACTTCTATTTGAATAAAACAAAATTAATAATTTTCCGAAATTACAAAAAGATTGAAAATGAGCATTTGCACTGCACAAACAGTCTAATCAACACAAGCATAGTGCATTTAAAGGAGAGTTGTGGCTAGATGAATGTGGGGTCCACGTGTTTTTTGCATTTAAAAAATGCAGACATAAATTTTTTATAAAATGACATATATGCCCTTGGTCAACCATCTTTCCTTTTCTATATAATAGAAAAATAGATATGGATATATATGAAAATCTTATAAATATCGATATTTCTTTTTGTTGTTGTATTATTTAAAAATTAATTTTATTTTCTCTATGGAAACTTCTATTTGAATAAAATAAAATCAATAATTTTCCAAAATGAGAAAAAGATTAGAAATAAGCATTTGCACTCCACAAACAGTCTAATCAACACATGCATAATGCATTTAAAGGAGAGTTGTGGCTAGAGGAATGTGGGGTCCACATGTATTTTGCATTTAAGAAATGCAAACATGAAATTTTTATGAAATGACATATATGCCTTTGGTCAACCATCTTTCCTTTTCTATATAATAGAAAAATGTTGTATTATTTAAAAATTGATTTTATTTTCTCTATAGAAACTTCTATTTGAATAAAACAAAATTAATAATTTTCCAAAATGAGAAAAAAATTGGAAATGAGCATTTGCAGTGCACAAACAGTGTAATCAACACATGCATAATGTATTTAAAGGAGAGTTGTGGCTAGAGGAATGTGGAGTCCACGTGTATTTTGCATTTCAGAAATGCAAACATAAATTTTTTATGAAATGACATATATGCCCTTGGTCAACCATCTTTCCTTTTCTATATAATAGAAAAATTGGGCTGGTGGCACTTGCCGACAAAAAAAGAAAAGAAAAAAGAGGCACATCTTTGAAGAAATAAAAATTTACACACATATCCTTTCAGTTTCAACTTGTAACAAATGGTACTTCTTTTATATTTAACAATGCTTCCCCCCTTGTTTATTGATTTGTGTCATACAAATAACTATTACCTCCGTGTGACTCATACAGGGGCGTACGCAAGATTTTTCATAAACGATATCGACATTTAAAGAAGTAGACAAAAAAACAAATATAGTAACGACATCATATGTTTCAAGATTCTAATTCGAAAGAAAAATAGAAAAAATAGTAGTAGAACAACTCACAATTATGATTACAGCAAGTAATTTCGACGAATTCATAATGAATAGGTTTTTTAAAATAATTGAACTCCAATGTATTTTATATTGTTTATTATTCCTTTCCTGCACAAACGAGTAGTAGTTTAATTCTCTTTTTCCCTGCGCAAATCAGATGAGTTACTGTCTCCTACATGGCATCTAATTCAAGTATTGCTAAAAAATTAAAAGCCAAGGAATGAATCTGCTTAGCTCGAACCGCTGACCACAACCTCAAATTTCAGGGAACTGATCAACGAACCAACTCTCTTGCTTTGACTAAGTGGTATCATTTTATTTTACTTGTACGTATTTTTTCATATATATATGTGTGTTTAATAGAAAAATTCGACCAAGTGATGTCGGATGACACCGCTTCAACCACAGTAAATCCGCCCCTGGACCCATAAAACACAAATTCGAGCTGTAGAAATAATCATTAATTGTTGACTAGAGTTAGTGAAGCAAGCTGATAAGTTAATTGTAGTTACCTATGTAACTGTAGTTAGAAGTTAGTTAGTTAGTTAGTACAGTATTAGGAGTTAGTTATACTATATAGTATAAATACACTGTACTCTTTGTATAGACGCACGGCTGTATCATTTCTTCTTCTTCCAATAACAGAAATCTGTTTCTCTTGAGTGTGGCCTTTATTTGCATGTCTTCTTCCTCAAGCTCAATCTTCAGATCCATGGCAGCTAACATGGTATCAGAGCTACCGGAGTAAATCGAAGGCAGTTCTCAAGCTAGTCCTTACTCTCGTTACTTCAATTTCACAATTCTGTGGTATATTGTCCAATTGTAGCGTGTAGCTGAAAGGATAGGGTTTACTCTTGAAGAAGCAGCTGAAAATGGCGATTGGAGAAGAAACATTATGTGAAACTTCATTTCCAGCAACTACATTCTCTGGTAATGTCAATCTTGCCGCCGGCACAACTGTGTTTCCATCAATTGACCATAATCATCCACCTTCCATTAACAAACAGACACTCCATGTAGTACTCTGATTTCTCTTCAACTTACTGGTTCAGATAACTGCGCGA